TGTTATAAATATTCAACAGTCTGCTCATCCTAAGGGGGATTGTAACCGAACTATTTCCTTGAATACACACGACTTCATTTTGCTATCTAACCCACATTCTGCACATGAATATAAAATCTTGGCATCTCAAATATTTCCAGGACAAGCCAAATATTTTACTGAATCATTTCGTGACGCATTGGAGGGAAAGAAATTTCAATATTTAATGATTGACGTATCACCCTATTCCGATCCTCAGTATGGGCGTCTGCTCAGTGGTGTCTTTCCAGATGAAGTATGTATTGTGTACCAACCCAAATAAAAGCTACTGCTGAAAGTTATACCCACCAGTTGCCCGTCTTACCAATGAACAGATCTGTTGCTTACGGAGGTCATCATGGATGTTTGCGGACGATTTGAAGATATTGCTAAGGATTGTTCAGTGATTTCAACCAATGCTGAAGTGCTTTTGTGAGAGATAAAAGTCCTTCGCCAGTTGGCCCGTGCAAATGAAACAGTCTCTGAAGACTATGGCACAAGCAGGATTCATTTACACGGGTCAATCAGATAAAGTCTACTGTTTCATGTGTCGATTGCGTGAACATAAATGGATGCGAGAAGATGAACCACTAACTGAACATTTCAGGTTATCACCTCAGTGTAGTTACATAAACATGATAGCTTCTAATACCGAATGAGAGACATCGGCTATGGTGTATGAGGAATATTAGGGTCTAAGCATACATATATCAAAGTCACAATAACCTAGTTGGATCATTTCACATCGTGATCTCTTCACATCAATATGGGTGATTTACTGGAAAAACATCTGTCTTTTCTTCAGACACTACTGCAGTTTATAGAACTGGCTGAGTAACTCTTTGTGATCAGGTGAAAAGTCCTCAAAGGGAATGTTGTCATGGGTAGGAGCCATGGGGAAAGCAGCATGAAGTTTGTGTAAATGTTTAGGATAGTGCAAGTCCACTTCCAAAATGTAACCCGTATCCCCTTGGGTATCTATTGTAACCCAATCAATAGTTTCATAATCTTGTGCTGACATGAACTGATAGTTGCCAATGGGTAGGGGTTCCAGCATAACTCCAGAATAAAGACTGTTAAAGTCCATGTACAGAAGCACCAAGGCTTCTTTTTCTGGGTTATAATTAGACATGTATTCATTGTTGCTTTCGGCAAATTTCTTACAGATGACGGACACGCCACCCCGAATGGAATTTTCCACAAAATTGTAACTATCTACATCAGTGAAGAGATCAAGCTTGACCCCAGTGACTTTCAGTGCTGCATCAATACAAAACCCAGGCATGGAATAGTAGTAAAAGTCCATAATCTACTAAACATCCAGTTCTGAATGTTTCGACAATATCAGCCAACAACAGTGTGTCTACAACCACATACAACCGTGTAAAGTCAGACATCGTGTTGCATGCGAATGTATGCCACAATAAGAAATTTAGCTCTTTCTGTTTTAGCTTCTGATCGTAAACCAAACTGATAGACTGCTTTCTCGGGTTTAGGCATATTGACACGTTGGGCCTTAACAAAACAATACCCCTTGTGCTTATTCAACCTTTCTTGTGAGCTGTATGTCCACAAACATTTTCTACAAATATGATACTGGTTACTACGTTTTTTCTCAGGGTTTTTGACAAAAAAATTCAACTTAGTGATCAAACAAAAATGGGTGTCTGCTTTCGTTTCTACATCCATAAGTTCATGACCCTCTAAGCCTAAGAATCCTTCAAAATCTTCGGGGCTCGTTCTCTTGTGAAAGCATCAACAAATCAATTTGTCTGTCTGGTTCTATGTTGGATATGTTGCTTACGTGCTGCATCAATACAAAACCCAGGCATGGAATAGTAGTGACAGATGTCAAGTCCATAATCTACTAAACATCCAGTTCTGAATGTTTCGACAATATCAGCCAACAACAGTGTGTCTACAACCACATACAACCGTGTAAAGTCAGACATCGTGTTGCATGCGAATGTATGCCACAATTCACGGGCAAAGGCATAGTCTTCATCAGTAATGCCTTCATCACTCAAGAAACTGTAGAAGGATTCTTTAGGAGGAAACTGTGTGTCATTTAATTTTTCCCATGAATCCATGTACTCATAAGGAAAAGGAAGCTTTCGGGTCATTATACCAACATGCTGTGGGAACTGCTCTTTCAAGAAAACAAATGTGTCTAATCCTTTATTCATCTGATTCTTAGTCAGAGCATCTAAAGAGCTTTGCAAACATTTGCAAGAATCTAGGAAGACCAGGTCATTGTCCACAGTAAAAGACAGAAACTGTTCAGAATTATGGGGTATGATCTGAATACTTCTCTCTCCAAATTCCCGCGCTGCTTCAAGAATAAGATGCGTATCGTAACGCTCTGAATTGTGCAACATCAGATACACTTTCTTTTGCAACTGGAAATTTAGGTTACACTTGTTGTGTAATACTTGTCTAAAAGCACCGCTGAGATGGTCATGATCTAACACCCTGTCTTTCCCTAACTCTTTTCCACATAATCCACACTGAGTTGTGTTTGCTATGGTTGCCCGATCCTGATGAGATAAATGCATGGGAACAACATTGGCAAAGATCTCCTTAATTTCATCATATTCTCTTAAAATGTCTTGAATAAAGTGTTCTGCTGCATCTGAACCTACATAGGTTTGAACAGATTTCGAATACCGCTCCTCCGTACAAACAACTTTGTAAGCATAGGCACAAGGAACGTGTCTGTTCAAACGTGAAGCATGATTTTCGACTGGCAACAGCAAACTTTCAAAATCGGCCACAATAAGAAATTTAGCTCTTTCTGTTTTTTAGCTTCTGATCGTAAACCAAACTGATAGACTGCTTTCTCGGGTTTAGGCATATTGACACGTTGGGCCTTAACAAAACAATACCCCTTGTGCTTATTCAACCTTTCTTGTGAGCTGTATGTCCACAAACATTTTCTACAAATATGATACTGGTTACTACGTTTTTTCTCAGGGTTTTTGACAAAAAAATTCAACTTAGTGATCAAACAAAAATGGGTGTCTGCTTTCGTTTCTACATCCATAAGTTCATGACCCTCTAAGCCTAAGAATCCTTCAAAATCTTCGGGGCTCGTTCTCTTGTGAAAGCATCAACAAATCAATTTGTCTGTCTGGTTCTATGTTGGATACGTTGCTTATGTAAAGTGGATAGAGAGTTTTATCTTCGAAGCCATACACATTGATACTCAACTGATTGACTTGTTCAAGCCGTGGGATTTGTTTGAGTGTCATCGGAAAAGTAAACCCATCCAAATTCAATCTGTTCACAAAAGGTTGATAATGCTTCACTCGTGTTGGATGATGCGGAGCAGGAAACAGTTTGGCTAAAATGCTGTAGACAAATACGGTAATAAATTGAAGGGTGATTGATTCGAATAAAGATACGAATGTACACGGTAAGAGATATAGCTCAGTGTTAAGTTAGAGAAATGTAAGTTTCAGTAGTGATTATTTTGGTGACTACGGTAATGCATTACGAAGGCGATGTTTCTGTTGACTATGTACATTTCCCCATGTTAGCAGACCGGTGATCCACAGTGCTTTATCTATTCTTATATACATAAACGTATGCGTCACGTCTAATGGAGGGCGGTCGGGTAGCCTAGTGGTTAAAGCGTTCGCTCGTCACGCCGAAGACCCGGGTTCGATTCCCGACATGGGTACAATGTGTGAAGCCCATTTCTGGTGTCCCCCGCCGTGATATTGCTGGAATATTGCTAAAAGCGGCGTAAAATCATACTCACTCACTCACTCACTCACTCACTCACGTCTAATGGGACGTCTTCAGAAATGAACCTGCAAACGAGATACACTGTGCACAAGTGACATGCAAGAGAACAAGGATTTTCTTTGTTAAGGTTGTCAGATCCCCCCCCCCCCCCGCTGTGGCAATTTATAACAAATTACTTCGAGCATTGCAGACTCATAACAAACCAGGTCAGCTTTATCTTTCTTCTGCGATATTGAGTATAGTTTCCCACGATTGCTGATTTCAATACAGGCATGCAGGGCCATGGAAAGAAAGGCGTCAGGGGTCAACTGATATCGTTCTATAACCATCAAATAGCCAATTCCCTTCCACTGATTTACCCATATGAAATAGAAATAAAGGAAACCAGTGAGACAGTAACGTGATTCATAGTTGGATCTATGTATAAAGAATCAGAGTGACAAAACACTCTCCAAAAGACTTTATGACCAGAGGGATGAGGTTAACTTTCCAGTAGTCAACTTTCCTTTTATGTCGAGCAATATTTTTCAGCCTGTTTTTTTTCTGAAGCTCCAGCCTTTGTTATTTACACTTAACATGTTTTGAGGTTCAACTATGCAAGCGTGCATGTCATACGAAGGCTTCAAAGAGCGCCATTCGACTCGAGTTGTATGTTCAAGGTTACATCTGTCAACGCCTCAGTGAAGCTTCAAAATGTGTTATTGTAGACACTATTTAATGATTCATAGCCACGTGCTCTTGATATAGTCAGAATCGTGCAATGAACTCTTCTTTAAGCAGCTACTCCTTATGAATGGGGAAAGGATTTTGTCGTTTTTATTAAAATCAATATTGATTATATAAAGCCCAAATAATATTAAACTGTGTTCAAAGAAGAGTTTCCCGGCCCCCGTGTCCCTTGGTTTTTTGTGTGTGACGTACATACACGGACATTGTAAAGTGTGAAGAATATTTCACAATATAACAAATTAAAATGCTTAAATTGGGATTACAATTTCTTTAAGGTATAGTAGCAGTTCTTATACTTTTGGGGTAGGGTCCCATGCAGGTTTCTAACCCACACCGAATGGTGACATACATTTGTATTTCACTTTACAGTGTTCTTAACCTTAAAATCTCATAAAACCTTACATGGGTTCAATGAAAACCATTTAATTTTTTTTATTTATTTTGCATGACCGCCGCTATTTTGCTGGTTGATTTTGGAGATGAGAAACATATAAAAGTAAGGATGGCCTTTGGTAAATTTATTAAAAATTCAAAGAAGTAGCAAGAAATATATGTACTTGAATATATTGTATATACCAGAGTGCGTGATTTATCATGCTATATCACCCAGCTTTGAATGGGTACCCGGCAGGGTGAGATATGTGGCAATGAGGCTGTTAACCTTCTAGCGCCTCACAGGCAAATGGGTTGTGTACTCCCCAGGGAGCTGAGAAAGAAATTCGAGTGCACCCTGATCCATTGGCAGGGGTACATATAATAATACGCTTTGAGCATGATGGAAAAAGCGGCATACGAATACCTATAGTACGTCGTGCTTCAAAGAGTGTGCAGTTACCTATAGCTGTGGTATGTCGACAAATCTCTTGCGTCTTGCGTCAAATCCCCTGTAATGTGTCGACCTAGTTATAACGTGTCGAGCCGCATATGGTATATCGAGCTTAATATGGTATGTCGAGCAGCCTAGAGAACGTCGAACTATTTGTATAGTTTAGAAAATTAATGCAATCTATTTTGCTGAGGGGGCGGTCGGGTAGCCTAGTGGTTAAAGCGTTCGCTCGTCACGCTGAAGACCCGGGTTCGATTCCCGACATGGGTTCAATGTGTGAAGCCCATTTCTGGTGTCCCCCGCCGTGATATTGCTGGAATATTGCTAAAAGCGGCGTAAAACCTAACTCACTCACTCACTCACTATTTTGCTGAGCTCCACATGTTTCACACACTACTCATATGAAATTGATGTTTGTCCTTGTTTAACGTCGCACTACGCAATAACCCAGCAATATCTGCCACCCTCCCTCAGCTAATAATGGTAAACACGAGTCATCAAAAGATGACCAATCCCCCGGCCCCCACAAATTCGAAAGAACAAATCATCTGACTTACTCTCAGTCCAACATGATGAGATAATTTCTATCTAATCTGTCTGTCAGTGAACAAGATAAGTTAATGATCCATCAAGACAATACCATGGAATTGGGATTCGGAACTTTGTACTTCTATGGCAGGTACACACCACTATGAACAGCGTCAAAGTCAAACGTGTTGCAATGGAAATCATTAAAAATAAAAATGTCCCGAATCCGTAAATAGCAAAAGGCACCACTAAAGGATCTGTTTGATATATCTGTCAAGTTGTTTAAACATATTAAACGTTTTTTGGGATATATGTACGCTTCGGAAACGAAATGGACGCCGCGTCGACTTTCCAGCATTATATGCCAGGGGAATAATTGAAAACTAGTGATTGATATAAATAAATGATCATTGTCCCATGTCGTCGAGTGACCAACCGATCCATTTAGAGTTAGTTTACGATTAGCATTGTTGACTAATGGGGTCTTTTTTCCATGAAATACCTCGAGGAGTTGAATTGGCCTCACAATGTCGAACACCATGGGTCAGCAATACGACAATTAGTTTAGGCCCCAAGTGGAACCCAGTCTGGCATGAAAAAATCTTCCTTCGTGAATGCAGCAGCCAAACGTGAGCCCTTTCTGGGATAGTCTTTAAAATACACAGTGTGCCCATTCGTTAAAAAGGCGGCCCACCATCCGAAAGTCCCTACTGTCATTATCATGTGGTCACACAAGGTCAACGTTGCAAAGTCCAAATAAGGATCGGTGTTTTCCATCAGGATAATATCAGAGGAAGTTAGATTTGCTCTGCACCACTCTTTGTCATCCGTTGCAATAAGAAAAATAGGATTAGGAAACTTCGCCTTCATATAGTTGATGGCTTTTCGTATGTACGACAACGGTGCTACTTCAAAACCTTTAAACTTGAACTTAATCATGTCCGTCCGACGCACGTGTAACCCTATCACAGGTCTGTTTTTATGCTGACCCGTATATTTCGCAAAACACTGAGCACTGAGATTGGAATATTTCTGAGTGAAGGTAAACGTTTTTATAATTTGCGACTTCATGTAATAGAAATACTTCCAGGACTGCAGAAACATACCTATTTTTACATTCCCATACGGTAGTTGATTAAGCTTACAGTCATACGTTGAAAGTAGGCGTTCACGTCTATAAGCCCACGTTGTGTTTTTGACATCACCAATGAAGGATATATTAAAAAGTCTAGTGAGAGGGCTCTTGGAGGATATGGTAAATAGAGGATGCTTTCCTGTTCTGAATGCGATTCCCAGCAACGAAGCGTACTCAAACATTCCGTTTCCCATACGACCTGCAGACACCACTTTTAATATGTTGTCACGGGGCTCGGTCGTCCGCCATCTTGAAAATACTTCTTTGATAGCCTCATCAGAGATAACGATGTTATGAGAACAGGTGGTGAAGTGGCTTGTGTTAAGATGATGTTTCAACTGGACTTTTCTGGTTATATTGTCTATTTCAGTCGCATCATCAGTGTCAACGCTTCTTGTCAATTGTACGTTTTGTAACGTGCTCTGCACAATGAATATTGTAACTAGTGCCAATACCACCAGGCTGAAAGTCAGGAAGAGATGTTGCATTCGTCGTACGGCTGACATTATTGAGGATGTTTTGTAAACTTTAGATGAGGTGGCGCCCTGATATATTAGTATAGACGATGAGGGTACTGGACCATACCACCTGGACCAGGTTGAACATTAGTTTCCTGCTATAACTGGCGGTGGTACACATGAGGTATATATGTCCCCTGCTACAACAGTGATACTTGAAACTGTGCCTGATGTTTTAGGTCAACATGCATGTTCCATGTTCTTTATCTGAAAGTAAATAAACAAGTAAAAGACAAATATTTGACTGATTTCAGTTCATCGATTTTTCTGACAACATTCTGTTTAAATTGTTTGATAGGCATTACTTAGAAGTTGACGGATGGCAAGATAGACACAATTTATGGATAACAACTTCTTTAATACTGTGAAAAGCGACGTTTCGGTATAGATCCTCATACCGTTATCACTTATCCTGTTTATTGGCTTCATGTCCCTATTGGCTTCCACCTATGTGTTTTCTGTCCATCGTGTTGTGACAGCATCATCCCTTTGTTGTCAACACCTACCAATGTTATCCCACTCATGTATGCAATTGTTGTTACTGTTAATCCTCCACCTACTATATATATTCTGTACTATGTCCCTCATTCAGACAGGCAAACCGACGGTACCATGGTGGAATGAGGAAATAGAACAGACTAGACGAAAACGTAAATCAGCCTTCAATAAAGCAAAACGCGACTACAAATATTTAAACATAGCCCACGAACTAAACCACCAGGTTCAAAAACTAGTCCAAATAGCCAAAAGTAGAGACTGGAAAAAATTCTGCGAAGGTATAAATAACCGTACAGATGCCAGAACGGTCTGGCGCAAAATCCACGCCATCAGAGGCTTAAAACGACATAAAAAACCCCCTAACATTGACAACTCAACCAACCCCGCCCAAAAAGCAAATAATCTCGCCAACCACTTTTCGGCCGTTAGCAGTAACACCAACTTCAGTAAAAAATTCCAAGATAAACTTAAAACAGAAAACAAACCCACAAAAGAACCAAACAATAACAATCTAGAAATAAATCAACCCTACACAATGGAGGAGCTCCTCTACGTAATCCAAAACAGGAAAAAGGGCACAGCCCCAGGATTAGACCTAACTTCTTACCAAATAATTAAAAAACTCCCCCTAAAACTACTCCAGGCACTACTCAAACTATACAATCTCATCTACCTAAACGGACAGGTTCCTACTCCCTGGAAACAGGCCCTAGTCATACCAATCCCTAAACCTAATAAACCAGCTAATCAAGCTAACTCATATAGACCAATATCCCTAACTTCAAACTTATGTAAAGTAATGGAATCAATGGCTAAAAATAGATTACAACATTACTTAACCCAAAATAACATCATAAACCCAGATCAAAGCGGTTTCACTCCTGGCCGCTCAACCCTAGATAACCTCGCCCGACTAGAACAAGATATTAAGACAGGACAGCTAAATAAACAATATACCACAGGCATCTTCTTAGACTTCTCTAAAGCTTTCGACATGGTATGGCACGATGGGCTAATACAAAAACTTAAAAAAATAGGACTCAAAGGTCAGATAATAAACTACATCCAGGACTTCCTAAAAAATCGTAAAATAACCGTGGGTATAGACCAAACTCTATCGGACCAATGTACCCTAGAAAATGGTACTCCACAGGGCAGTATCCTCAGCCCCACCCTCTTCAATATAATGATAAACGATCTATTCGAGGGCCTATCCCCTAAAGTAAACACATCAAAATTCGCGGATGATGGAGCCATCTGGATCCGCACTAAAAGCATGAACATGGTCCAAAATTTACTCCAAAAATCTCTTAATAAAATACAACAATGGGCTGACCAATGGGGCTTCTCCCTTAACTCAGAAAAAACAACAGGAATAGTATTCAAACATAAAAACATGAAACCCGCCTCCCCAATCCTCCAGCTAAACAATCAAACAATCAAATTTCAAAAACAAACCAAATTCTTAGGACTTATTTTCGATGAACATCTCACCTGGGATGCTCACATTCAAAACCTAACAACTAAATGCAGTAAAGACCTAAACACCCTAAGATGCCTAACTGGCTCTAACTGGGGAGCATCCAAAGATACCCTCCTCTCTCTCTACATATCACTAATTAGATCAAAACTAGACTACGGCTGCGCCATATACAACACCCTAAACAACTCTCTATCTAAAAAACTTGACTCAATACAATATCAGGCTCTCAAACTAATTACACGCACCCAACATGGCACCTCCTACACCTCACTTCAGGCCTTAACAGGAGAAATGCCACTAAGTCTACGCAGGGAACAGCTAAGCTTAAATTTCTGGGCCGCGTCCCAATCAAACCCTCTCATCCAAAACTTAATAAACCAAAACATCAGCCCCAAAAACCAAGCTCTAGCTCGTAAACACCCCTTACTTACCCCAATATCCCAAAGAATAACAAACTACCTAAATGAACACCAAATCAAAAATCTTAAACAAAACTGCAAACAATCAAATATCTTCATCCCTAAACTTAAAATACCCAAAATAGACACAACACTAGCTAGCCAAATAAATAAACAAACCGACCCAAACATAGCTAAAACTACCACACTAGCATACATACACGAAAATTGGCCAAATTGGTATCACATTTACACGGACGGATCCTCAGATCCCACCTCCAAACACACAGGTTTCGGAGTCCATACCACACAACCAACTAAAACCACACAATCCTTCCGACTCCCAAACAACCAATCAATATTCACGGCAGAACTAATGGGCATGGCCTCAGCCCTCCATAATCAAGAATCCAAAAACCACAAAAAATCCTAATACTTACCGACTCCCTAAGTGGACTGCAAGCCCTCCAAAACAAAAATACCAAAAACCGACCTAAATTAATAAATCAAATACTTAAAAGCTCCAACGACCTAACTAAGGCAGACAAACAAATAACCTTCTTGTGGATACCCGCCCACGTAGGAATATACGGTAATGAAAACGCCGATAAAGCAGCTAAACTATCCCTCAAAATCCCAGAAATAAGCTTAAACTTACCCATCTCAAAATCAGAAATTAAAAGTGTAAACAAGCAAAAAATCACCAAAAATGGCATTACCTATATCTAAACTCAAATAGCCAAATCAAAAAAGTGCTCAGCAAACCACTAACCAAACCAAAAATTCACCATCCATCCAAAAAAATCGACAGAGTAAACACTAAACTCCAAACAGGACACACCAACCTAAATAACCACCTAAATTTTTTTTAAAAACACACTACAGGTAACTGCCCACACTGCAAACAACCAGAAACCCCAGAACACGCACTCATCCACTGCACACACTACCTAACACATCGAACCGCATTACAAACCACCCTCAATCTAAACAAGGCTCTAACTCTAGAAGCAATACTAAACCCACAAAATAAACTAGAAAACTTCAAGGCCTTAGGCGTATTCTTAATCAAAACGGAACTAATAAAACGCATCTAAAAACACAATAACTCACCAAATCAAAACAATGATGCCCGTCCTCACTTTTACCGAGCATGTAAATTATATTGTCCGTCAAAAACATGGACGAGTATAAACAATATGTTCATTCACGTAATACATGTCATACATTTTGACAAAATGTATTGACTCGGAGCATTATTGTTAATCACAACGTATAGACTCGACATGCAGTTGAACTCATCACCCATCCCATTATTGATAATCCTTCTTGAAGATCTATGAAATCAGAAGCTGCAACACTTTATCTTTTAATTGGCATGTCAGACTTCTATTTCATAACTCAGTTTTATTTGCACGGATCACTATGGAAGGGACATTGTCGCGTTGTCGCATTGTCGCATTGACGCCCTTACAAAAACAAGCAAAACGTGTCAAAATTAACAAAAGCGCGACAATTGGCCATTTGTCGCATTGTCGCGTGTTTGCATCGTCGCTCTTTGAATAATCCTTTTCTTTATTTTACAAAAAGGCGACGATGCCGTAACGCGACATTTTCAAGGTCAAAATATGTCTCGTTGTCGCATTGTCGCCCAATCACAAATGTGTATAAAAGGCGTAAAAGTTTAGTTAATGTTACAGTTAGGAAGCGGTAACCAAGTTACATCTGTCGTAAAAGTTCAACCTGATACATGTAAGTCTTGAAATGAAAACACAAGTCCGTCCGCGAGTCCATAACGTTTTATTTTGAGCTCTTCTCTAAAAGTGCTTAGTGTTCGACTCCCATTTCCAAACACGTAGTACCTCATCAACAATCCACATACCTCTAGTGCAGTGGTCTTCCGGAAAGATCTTACTCTTGACCGCATTAGACAACTGACGAGTGCACGCCTGACCTGTGACCTCGTTGCAATCCTCATGAGGTGTTTGCCGAAGGGAGAGGGGTAGGAAATCTGTCCTCCAGCCCAGCGCAGAGCTCGCGACACACTGTGTACTGATGTATACAGTATATTGCAGTTGATATACTGTATACTGCATGTGATACTTATTAGCGGAAATGTTACAACTTTCAAGATTCAAGATTCAATTTGCATTTATTTCATATACAACAGACCGCCGTCATATATCACTGGAATACTGCTGAGAGCGGCGTTAAAACAATTTGTTTTCATAATGGAGCGCTGCAGTCATTTAAAATAGAACCGTAAACATATGTAGTACCAACTCACTCACTCTGTTTCGAATATTCAGCAGAAAATATATTATTAACCAGGTCTTTGGGAAGAGATATCATATTTTTATAAGCAGTCACAGGGATGATAAAGGACCCCTCGCTGATTAGGTTCTTGTTTACTTAAAAGCAGAGTTGGCCATGTTACATGATATAACCAAAATCCAGGAGCTCCGGCGGGGGGCAATCTGGTCTTGTTAGTGTATGGTATGAGCTGTGGCGTTGAGCCAAGAGAATAATGTAAAAAATGAGACCAACTCAAGTCTATAATGATTGGGAAAGTCTAGATTTCCACAGCCCTAGCCTGAAATTAAGAATTGTTCTAGGCTCCATTTTAATTGTATTATGTTGATTTTGTAGACATGGACCAACCAGGAGAGAAATTGATGGAATATTAATATCACATGTTACCACTGATCCAGTTAAATTCATCACACAATAATATATTAGTATTTGACATTACGGCATTTGATTATTAGGGCATGATCATGTACATGTTCACTGTAGTAATGTACACACCAGTCAACTTGATTATATTT